ATTATCTTTTTATGCATGTTTTTTCATTTATCTTGTGAATACTACTTTAGTTCTAAGAAAGTTAATTTTTAGTAGGAGTTATTGTGTATTAAAGAACCAAAAAAAAAATGAAAATAAAAATCTTTATTTGGGAACGTTTTTGTAGGTTCATAAGTTGTTTAAATTTAACATTTGAAGATGTAAAGTGAAGGTGCAGAGAATGCCTAAATATGTCATTTTAAACCTCTAATATTTTATATTCGTCAAAATGAAATCATAGTGAGTTTTTTTAATATTTTATAGATTTTAGATATTTATTTAATATATTAAAATTATAGATCGATATTATAAGTAAGTTATTGAAAATAACCAATTCTAAGATATATTATAGTTTTTTTTCTTTTTTGAAAAGATGGATAAAGAAAAGGAGAGAAAAGAAGTTTAAAATAATGGATTTTGATTGATTTTTGAAAATAAAAGAATTGAGAATTAAAAAGCTAACCCAGTTGAGTCTTCTAACTAAATATTTCTTTTAATCATGTTTGAGAAACTGTTAATTGATTAGATCAACATGTCATATTAAGATTCATGAGTTTAATTATAATTTTATTGCCAATATTGAAGTAGATAGGACATAACTGATGAACGTATGTAATATATGAAAGAAAATATTAAACCACTATAAGAGACCAATAATTAAAAGATAGTTCTTCATAGTCAATTCCATCTTAATAGTTCATCGGAAAAGTTGGTGCTATATTTATTAAAACAATACGCATTCAATACAGATCTAGTTCGACCAACAAAAAATTACAAAGGATTAAGAAGAAATATTCTAAAAACTAAAAAAATTCAAAAATTTAGCTTTTTTAAGTCCACCTTCTGATGATTGAAAAAAAAATACCATTTTATTCTTTAAAATTTTTGAAAGAGATATAGTTGGCAAGTTGTTGAGGCCTCTTAATACTAGTTTTTTTAACTTGGTTTTGTTGAAAAAAATATCCATGATGATGTGAAAATCAATATGCGATTTATTATAATAATTTTCGATCCCTAATTAACTAATAATGAAAAGGTGCTGAGAAAGTAAATAAAACAAAAAAATAAAAAACTAAAAGAACGTTAATATAGTAAATATTAGATAAATTACTTATTACTAAAAGAAAATAAATATAATTAATTTTATATCAACAGTTATTAAATAAACATAATTAATATATAACTATGTAATTAGGCATATACAATCTAAAAATTTATTTTTAGTAGAGAAATTTTTTTTTACGAGTATTAAAAACAATTTTGAAATATTAAAAAAGAGCTTTTGCCTCTAATGCTATTGAAATCATTATCAAGTTATGGAAGCCACATTGGTGGCAGCAATAATGGTGAAAACATTCTAAGAAGTTGAGATTCGAGAGATCTTACCATGCTGGTTTTGCATTGATGCTAGTAGTAATTTACTATGAATAAAGTTCCTAAATTGTGACGACTCTTTTTTGCCCTATACCAAATGACAATGATCCACGGATTATCATTGATCGGGATGAGTTGCTGGTACTATTTGATGGTGATAGTACTCGTTTGATTCTATATTTAACTAGAATTACATAGTAAAGTTTTAATATTTTTTTCTCTTTTCTTGTTTTTTTTTTTTGAAAATATAATATTAATTTATAAGAATATAAATTATAATATTGATATTTTAACACTAATAAAATTTACAGTTTATTCACTTGATTGGATTTATTTTATTTTATAACAAATTATTTAATTAATTTACGTTATAAAAATTATTTTTCTTACATCATTGTTTTATATTTTTATTACAATATTTACATTTAGTATTTATTATAAAAAGACCTGAGGGCTGTCATCCTCCGCCAACGCACGTGTTGAGAAAGGAAGGAGGCTGGAGGCGTTGTCAAGACTCGAGATAGTCGTAGCTTCCCCCCTCCCTTCTCACCGTGACTGTCTCAGGCTCAGCAGTTGGGAGAACAATTAATACTCGCTCAGAAGCACTTCCTGAGGTTAATTAGCGAAAGAGGATAAGAGGAATATCAATTCTCGGAAACCACCGTTTCATATCTTTTCACTTTTTCTTAAATTTGAATTCCCTGAATTTCTTCTTGATCAGCTCCTCTTTTCGGTTTAATCATGGACGTTGATCCTCGTCAGTATGAGCATATTGTATGTTTCTCTTTACCTCGATTCTTATTGCTTTTTTTTATTTTATGTTATTCTTATCTGGTTCCCTCCCTTCTAAACAGCGTCATATAAGTTTTTGTATACCGAGCTGTTACTCTGTACTGATAGTTTTATGCTCAACCGCATTGCTTTAGCTTGTTCACCTCGTTGTGGTTGATGATGCAAACCCTAGTTTATTCTCTTCTTTCTGTCTACTTAATTTTTTTTTTAGGTTTATACACTATATTCAAGTACAATATGACTATATTTCAACTTCTTGGTTTAAGTTATGAATTTGTTTATCGTCACTATGGTCCATTGCTCTTTTTTTTTTTTTTTTTCCTGATACGTGAATAATTGCAATTATGAAGGTCCAGAGCGGTGTATGTGTTTCTCTACTTTGTGTAAAATGTTAAAACTAGTTATTGATAGAGTATCTCCGTTTGTGATAATCTATGCATTTAAAGCTAGAAAGTTTCAAAAGCTTTGAGAGCTCTTCAATGACTGGGGCATGTGAAAAGATGTTTGTGAGTACCATAGGATTCACCAAGGAGCAATCAGGCATATGCACTGTCATTGTTAGGTAATTCAGTGGATAAATATGGAGGATTATCATGAATGTAGTTGTGATAGAGGAAATGCAATACATCTATCCTTCAACTTCAAGTAAATTTCTGCAGTTGGCTATTAATTCTGCACAATCTTGGTACATGGAGTGGAGGCCATGAAAATTGTCGATGAGAACCAACAAAGGAAAAGTTCAGATATGAGAAATTTTATTCTAAAAAAGTTAGCAAGGCTTACATTCCGGATTAATTTCCTTTTTCTTCAATAGCTTTAGTATTTTCCATTATGGATTTTTCTCCATAATAATAAGTTTTTTTTTATTTCCTAAGTAGATTTAAATATTTTCCTATTCTGCATATGTTTGGCTCCAATACAAGGGGTACCCTTAGAATAGTTTGTTACAGACTTCTCTCTTTCAAAATTATTTGAGAATTCAACAATATTATCGAAATGGGAAGTCTCGATTTTTTTCTTTGATTTTTTCTCAAGCTATTTTATCCTACCTCAGTTAATTTAAGAATGGTAAGTGTACATTCAGAGAAATAAGAAATTTTTGAGCGGTAGAGAAGAAGAGAAGAGAAGTTTAGGGTTGAGAATGAGAAATGAGAGGGTAAGAAGAGAGAATTTAGAGAGGATTCTAGCCACTGCTGATTGATTTAGAAATTATGGTAGGCAAATTGTAGTATCCCACCAATTTGTTTATCCATCCTATTTCAACCAGCACAAGAAGAAAATCCAAAATAGCATAACAGAACAGCAGAAAACAGAAAATTCTGACAGTACTACGTACTGCTGTGTAACCAACCAGCTGACTCATTCCTAAAATTATTTCATGTCCTAAATACTTCTGATCTGGCTGCCAGCTCTCTATGCAGCTTCAGATTTCTTTCTTTTCCGGTAATAAACCTTAAAATCTTTCCATACTTTTTCTGCCAAGGTTTAAACAACTCCCCCTGCTTCAGAAACTTCCTTGTCCTCAAGGGAAATCCAGGTAACTGTCCCTGCAAATAATTCATATCTTCTGATGTAGTCTCTTCAGCTCCCAAATTAGCCCATTGCACCAATCCTAGTTCAACCTTCCCATCTCTGTGCACCTCTCGTTTCTGTAGAATTCTTACTGGTTATATTTTCATCTGCCCCCAGGAATCGAGAGCTGGCAGTTCATCAAAGTGGATGTTGCTTATGGGAATGTATTTCTTCAAGAGGCGACATGGAATTCCGGATGAATACGGAAATGATCTGGAGATTTTAGCCTTCTAAGCTGCCAGTCATATCTTCTGGATAACTGAAAATGGACCATAGAATTTAGCAGTGAGTTTCAGCTTTCCCCTGTCGGTCAGAGACAGCTGCCGGTAAGGCTGCAATTTAAGTAACATCAATTCATGTTATTCAAATTTCCTTTTGGTTCTCCTCTTGTCAACCAGCTGCTTCATGTGATCTAAGCTGCCAATAGTTGCTGCCTTAAGAATCGGATCATTTGCTGACGCTCTTCCGTGAATTCTTCAAGTTGGGATGAGGGAGTGTCTACTTCTAATGTATCCATGAAATAGGGAGGTGGATACCTGCATAAAGCTTAGAAGGGAATCATTTCTTTTGAATGGTGCACCACCGTTCTGCCAAGCTTAATCATTTGGTCCACCATTGCGGTCTTTGGAAAGTCATCCACCGCTGGTAAGTTTCAAGGCATTGATTCAACCTCTTGGTCCTCTGTTTGAGGGTGGTAAGTGGAGCTTAAACATAGATTATGCCTGTTAATCTCATCAGCTCTTGCCAAAATAAGTTTGTAAAAATCTTATCCCAATAGTGACCAACACTTTAGGAGTGCCATACAGTTTTTGTATGTTATCTACAAACACTTTGCCACCTTGTGAGCTAAAAAGGGAAGTTTGAGGGTAATGAAGTTCCCATTTTTGATAAACTTGTCCACAACAACCAGCACAGTATCTTTATTCTCTGATCGTGGTAATTGCTTTATGAGATCCATAGAGATATAGGACGAAGCCTGGTGATGTACAGAGAGAGGTTGGAGAAGTCCTGGAGTAGCTACCCTCTCTGATTTGCATTTCTGGCAAATTTCACAGCATCTGATCACAATATTTGGTAAACCTGTTCACAAGATCCAGCACAGCATCCTTATTCTCTGATCATGGTAATTGCTTTATGAAATCCATAGAGACATGGGACCAAGCCTGGTGAGGTAGAGGGAGAGGTTGGAGAAATCCCGGAGTAGCTATCCTCTCTGATTTGCATTTCTGGAAATTTCACAGCACCTCATCATTTCTGTTTTCTGCTGCTTCACCTTAGGCCAGTAAAAGTGATGCTCTAATTGTTCATAAGTCCCTCTCATGCCGGAGTGTCCTCCTACCGCTAAGCTGTGGCATTCTTGCAGTATTTTCTGGAGCAGGTTGGACTTTTCCCCAAGAAAAATTTTCCTATACCTGAGGATTCCTTGCTTTAAGGTGTAAAGGGAATTTGAGTCTGGAGCTATCATCAATTCCTTCTCCAGTTGATTAGCAAGTTCATCTCCTTGGTAGCTGCTTTCAATTTCCTTTACCCAGGCTGAGGTCACTTGTGTTGCTGCAGCTCCCAGTTTGGCTGACTTGAGATTTTCATCCCCTGTTTCTGACTCGTGATCTCTCCTGGATAGGACATCAACAATTTCGTTTTTTATCCTCTTCTTATACTGGATGGTATAATCCAGTCCCAACAGTTTAATTATTCCCCTCTGTTGTATGAATTAAGCCGCTGGCTCAACAAATTCTTCAAACTTTTCTGATCTGTTTTAGTTATGAATGGTCCCCCTTTAAGGCAGTGTCTCCATTTAGAAATAGCATACAGGATTGCCATCAACTCCTTTTTGCAAATGGAGAGGGATTGGTTTTTTTTGACTCAAGGGGTTGCTAAGGAAGGTAATGGGTCTGTCTTCTTGCATCAGCACTGCCCCTATCCCCTTTTCATTGGCATCAGCCTCCAATGCAAAGGATTGGTTGAAGTCGGCCAGCCATAGAACTGGGGCTGAAACCATTAGACTTTTGAGGTGATCAAAGGCTGGTTTTGCTTCTTCACTCCATAAACCATCATTCTTTAGCATTTTAGTTAGCGATTTACAAATAAGACCATACCCTTTAATGAATTTGCAATAATAGCCTGTCAAGCCGACAATTCCCGTCAAGGCTTTCAGAGTTGTTGGCTGCTGCTAGGATTTCATTACTTCCACATTCTTTGGATCTATTCTTACTCCTTGGCCAGATATATTGGCCCAAATACTCAACCTCCTTAACTCCAAATATGCATTTTGATTGTTTTGCAAAGAGCTGATTGCTCTTCAACAATTGTAGCTCATGCTGTAAATGGTCCTGCAAATATTTACCATATATTAGTATCTCATCAAAAAAGAGTACAACAAAATGTCTCAAGTAATCTTTGAACACATGGTTCATGAGACCTTGAACTGTGACTGGGGCGTTAATTAGCTCAGAGGCATAATTTTGAGTTCATCGTGCCCTTGGTGTGTTAGGAAGGCTGTTTGTTGAACATCTTTTGTTTTCACCCTTATTTGGTGGTACCTGAACCTCAAGTCAATGTTTGACATAATGGCAGCCCCATTTAATTCATCCAATAAATAGTCAATGACCAGTATGAGGAATTTTTCCTTCGCCGAGATGGCATTAAGTTCTCTGTAATTAATGCAAAACTGCCACTCGTCATCCTTCTTTACTAAAAGAACTGGAGAGGCAAAGGAGGTATGACTGGGGCTGATAATGGAAGTATCCAGCATTTGTTTGACTTGTCATTCTATCTTAGATATCTGGAGATAATATATCTGTAAGAGCAGTTGTTCACAGGTGAACTGCCATATTTTAAAGAAATTGCATGCTCAAATTCCCTCACAGGTGGTAACCCTTGAGGCTTCTGAAATACTCCAAAAAATCTGTCAAGTAGCTCAATCAACTCTCCAGGTGGCTGCTCGGTTTTTCCAACATCTTCAGACCCTTTCTCATCCTCCACTATAGCTGGTTGCCTTCCCACACAGAAATAATTCCTATGCTGGACTGCCATTTCTCCTTTAGTTTTTGCTCAGTCGACTGCAGGTTACTTTCTTCAATCTGCAGTTCTCCATCATCCCTAATAATTTAATCCCTCTTCCTCCCATAGAGAAGGTTACACACAATCCAGTAAAGTCAAAGAGGATGAGATTGAATTGTTTCATCTAGTCCACTCCGAGGATCACATCATAACATCCCAGTGGAATGATCCTTAAGTTGTAACTGAGTAGATAGTTTTGCATCCTCCAACAGACTCCCTTACATTCTCCTTAACTCATGACCTTTTGGCCATTGGTTCCTTGGTTGAGAGTTGCTCCACAATTTTTGTGTGTCCTCAACTCCCTCATTTTCTCCCCCTTCCACCGGTTCCTCCTTACACCTTTCCACTGCTAAGACTGCCCCGTGTTTACATCAGTGGCCAGGAAATAATATTTTTCCCGCACTTGAAGCAGGAGTTAAAGGGTTTTCTGTGGTCATTTTGGTGGGCTTTTTGGTGGTTAGAGGCTCCAGTTCTCTGGTGGGTTTGGGTTTTGGTGGTAATATGATTTGCAAGTGTATGAGCTTATTTTGGTTGGGTTAGAGGGTTGTGGTGAAGGATTTAAGGCTGCTTTTGAGGAGTAACTGGGAGATATCTTTGAGTAAGTTTTATTTTTCTATTCATGACTTCTACTGCATGTTCTTTAACTAAAGCTTGTTCAAAACCTTGGTTTAAGTTTCTCGGTTTGAGCAGCTTTAGCATAGGTCTAAGCTCTTTATTTAGCTCACTTCTGAAACTAGAAACAAAATATTTCTCTTTAAGGGTTGGGCCTCCTTCAGCATTATTGAGCATTGGTCTTCAAAACATTCCTGATGTTCTGGGACAGTCCCTTCTTGATTGAGTTTGTTAAACTCTTCTACCACATCTACATGAGCTGCCTCCAGAAATCTCCTACAGAGTTCATCAACAAACTCATTCCAGCATTGAAGCTTATTTGAGCTTGCCATCCTTGATACCATAAATCAGTTTCGTCAAATTTAGAGTCGCTAACTCGACTCTCTGCTCGTCAACAGCCTTATATACCAGAAAATACTTCAGGCACTTCCTGATCCAGGCCTGCGTATTCACACCCTCGAAGATGAGTATTTCTATTCTTGAGAAGGGACAATTTGGGTGATTTCGGTTGGAATCTGGACCGTTACTTGGTCCTTCTTGCTCCTTGTCCTCGGAGTGGCTAAAATGCCCTTGTGAGGCTCACTGGGTAAAGGGGAAGAAGGTACCTGGACTGGAGTCTCAAGGGATTGTAACAAGTGGCTTACTGTTTCTGCCAGACTTTCAAAACATTCCTCCAGCCTCCTCTGGTTCTATTGTGTTTTTCTTGAGCTCATCCGCATTACATTGCCTAGTGTCATAGACTTCTGTCATGAAGTCTTTCATCCTCTGATCAAGTCCACAAACTGCCTTCAGATAATTTGATACATTGGTAATTTGGCATGGCAGCCTTTCCTCTTGTGCATGTCATCACAGCTCTAGATGTCAAGGTGTCCTCTGAATCAGAGGACTCTAATACCAGGTTATTAGGAGCTTCAGACATGAACTCCTATGTGACTTATGTGAATCAGTGAGAGAGAGAAATAAGAACTTTTTGAGAGGTAAAGAGAAGAAGAAATGAGACATTTAGGGTTAAGAATGAGAGAAGAGAGAGGGAAGAGATGGTAAGAAGATAGAATTTAGAGAGGATTCTAGTGACTGCTGATTGATTCAGAACAGACAAATTGTGGTATGCCACCTATTGGCACTTTCGTCATATTTCAACCAGTCAAGCAGAAAATCTAAAATAGCAAAAGAGAAAAGCAGAAAACAGAAAATTCTGACAGTACTACCTACAGCTGTGTACCTAACCAGCTGACTCATTCCTTTGAAGTATTCCATATCCTAAATACTCCTGACCTGGCTGCCAGCTGGTGCAGCTTGTAATTTCTTTCTTTTCCAGTAATAAACCTTCAAAATTTTCCCTCCTTTTTTTGCCAAGGTCTAAACAGAATCTTCAAAATGTCAATCTTGAATTCACTCCATAGTCATGAAATCTTGTTAATTTTTTTGTTCGCAATAACTCCCGAGATTATATCAGATTTCATAATTTTCTTTGCAACTTATGTAGAAGAGACTGGGATCATTGGTGCTCTTTAGATGCGTGACATTTTTTTAAATCTTGCATATTTTTTTCTTTTGAGATTAAAAGAAAAATGATAAGCATTAAAAGGATACCCAGGGGGTGCCACCATATACAAAAGCGAACTTCGTTAAGGTGATAA